TTTTCCAGTTGGCCAACACACTACTACGTGTATTTTGGAATACATTCACAGTGATCTTTGGGGCTCAGTGTCAAACGAGCCAAGCATGACAGGGTGTAGATACTTTCTTACTTTCATTGATGATTACTCAAGGAAGGTTTGGATCAGATTCCTAAGGAGTAAGGACGAAGTGTTTGAAAATTTTTCAGAGTGGAAAGCACTAGTGGAAAATCAGAAGAGTAAGAAGATAAAGCGTCTGCGAACTGATAATGGATTAGAGTTCTGCAACAATCAGATGGATAAGCTATGTCAGGATTCAGGGATTAAAAGACATCGAACTTGCACTTATACTCCACAGCAAAATGGAGTATCTGAGAGGATGAATCGGACAATAGCTGAGAAGATCAGGTGTATGTTAGCAGAAACAGGAATGGAAAAGAAATTTTGGGCTGAGGCAGCTTCTACTGCAGTTTATCTCATAAACAGATCACCAAATGCATCACTGAAGTTCAAGATTCCTGAAGAGGTTTGGTCAGGATCAAAGGTTGATTACAGTCATCTCAGACGATTTGGTTGTGTTGCATATGTTCATGTAATACAAGACAAGATGAGTCCAAGAGCTGTTAAAGGGATTTTCTTAGGATATCCACAGGGTACTAAAGGTTACAGGGTTTGGATTCCGGAGGATGGAAAATGTACTAACAGCAGGAATGTAGTCTTTGATGAGGAAAAGTTGTATAAGGACCGAGATCAGAATGAAGTAACAAAATCTACAAAGAAGAAGAAAGTTACTTTCAAAGCTGGATTGATCCAAGGACCTACTCCAAATGGTTCGGTTCAAGAGTCCACTGGTCAAGGTGGAGAGGTTTCAGGAAATACAGATTCTGCTGGTCAAGGTGGAGCTACTTCGGAACATTCAGAATCAGAAGAGGAGCAGGAATCTGAGGAAGAACAAGAAAATCAGGATGAAGAAGAGTCTCTTGATGATTATTTGCTGGCAAGAGACAGAGAGCGAAGAACTATCAAACCACCATCGAGGTTTGAGGATGCTGATTATTTAGCTTATGCTTTAACTAGCGCTGAAAGCATAGAGTTAAATGAACCAAAGTCAGTCGCAGAAGCTAGACAAAGTAAAGACTGGAAGAAGTGGAAGCAGGCTATGGAAGAAGAAAAACAATCTCTGGATAAAAATGAAACTTTTGAGATTGTCTCTAAGCCGAGAAAGCAAAAAATAGTTGGGTGTAAGTGGATCTTCAAGTACAAGGAGGGCATTCCAGGTGTTGAAGAACCTAGATACAAAGCAAGACTTGTAGCTAAGGGATTTACACAGGTTGAAGGAGTGGATTACAACGAAATATTTGCTCCGGTGGTTAAGCATGTTTCTATTAGAATCATGTTGTCAGTTGTGGTTAATTTTGATCTGGAATTGGAGCAACTAGACGTGAAGACTGCTTTCTTACATGGTACACTTGATGAAGTCATTTACATGAGTCAGCCAGAGGGTTTTATAGAGAAGGGAAACGAAGACAAGGTCTGTCTTCTTAAGAAATCTCTATATGGTTTGAAACAGTCACCTAGACAATGGAATCAGAAGTTTGATGAATTCATGAAGTCAATGGAGTTTCAAAGGAGCGCTAGGGATCCATGTGTTTACACTAAGGGATCATGTATTGATGATATGGTTTATCTCTTACTATATGTCGATGACATGCTTGTGGCAGCAAAGAATATGGAAAAGATCAAAGCCTTGAAGGCAAGCTTAAGTAAAAAGTTCGAGATGAAGGATCTAGGACCAGCGACTAGAATTCTTGGTATGGATATCATCAGGGACAGAAAGAAAGGTACTCTCAAGTTATCACAGGAAAGATATCTTAAGCAGGTTTTAAGAACTTTTAACATGGAGGATTGCAAGGCTGTTGTAACTCCAAGTAATTCGCAGTTTAAGCTTAAGAGTCTAACAGAGCAGGAGGTAAAAACAGAGAGTAGATTGATGGATTCAGTTCCCTATGCAAGTGCAGTGGGGAGTCTGATGTATGCTATGATCGGTTCAAGACCTGATCTAGCCTTTGCCATTGGATTGGTTAGCAGATTCATGGCGAATCCAGGAAGATCTCATTGGGCTGCGGTTAAGTGGATTTTGAGGTATTTAAAAGGAGCTACAGGAGTATGTCTTACTTTCACAAAATCAGAGAAATTTGAGATTGAAGGGTTTTGTGATTCAGATTATGCTACAGACTTAGACAGGAGAAGGTCAGTTTCAGGCTATGTTTTCAAAGTTGGTGGCAATACGGTCAGTTGGAGATCATGTCTACAACAAGTAGTTGCTTTATCTACTACGGAAGCAGAATATATGTCTCTATCTGAGGCTACTAAGGAAGGTCTGTGGCTTAAGGGATTGTGTGGTGAATTGGGTTTTAAAGAGGACAGTTTTAAACTCAATTGTGATTCACAAAGTGCTATATGTTTAGCAAAGAACAGTGTGCACCATGACAGAACAAAGCATGTTGATACCAAATATCATTTTATCAGAGATATAGTCGATGAAGGTTCAGTCAAGATCCTAAAGGTTCACACTACAGCTAATCCAGCAGACATGCTCACAAAGTGCTTACCTGGAAACACGTTTGAGAAGTTCCTGGTGCTTCTCAATGTAATTCCGTAGTTGTTTTCAAAAGCGTCTTGAGATTACTCTTGTCGATTTGGGCATCTCACAAAGACAGAAGATATTGAAAAAAAAAAATTCAGTATCGGTAACATAAGAAATCGACAAAGTTTTTCAGATTGTAAAGTTTGAAAAATGTGAGATGAGATTGGTAAAAGTCATCATTTCAGGGTAACAGAGAAGAAGTGTTTCATTACGGGTTGATCTTCTCAAATGGCAAAATTTTCAGGTGGTCAAATTTGAAAGTTTGGAAGCGTCAAAGGAATTTGGGGTTTTACCTGCAATTCACGATGCTTGGTTTTTTGAAATCAAAAGTGTCTTCAGCAGCTGCAGATGAAAAGGAAGACAGTAAGATTTCAGAAGTAATTGCAAATCACAGCAACAGAAACTGAAATAACATTTTGGTAAAGAGATGGCTATGGGAGTTTCGGAATTTACCTGGGATTGCAGAGCTGAGCTGCATCGGTTAAGGTAGCAGCGGAATCAGTCAGCGGTGAGGATGAATTAACATCAATCTATCATCGGAAATGAGAGGATCTAGAAATAGTCGACGATTTCTGGGTTTTGACATGCTCCGGTGAAAAAGTTGAGATGTTGGGTCGGTGATGGTTAAATCAGCGACAGCAGATGCTATCGTCGGTAAAGACGACAGTGGAGATGAACGCCGGTAGCGACGAAACGGCGGTTAAGCTGGAATCGTGGTGCTTCATTTGCAGAGACGGTGGTGAGATTCATCGGCTTGTTTAAAGCCATGAATCGTGACGATGGCGAGCTTCAAGGACGACGGTGAAGTCGGAGAAGGAGCAGCGCCGGAGAAGGTCCACTAGAACGGTGACATGACGGAGAGGCGACGGAGGATTTCGTCTCAGGCAGATGTCGTAGTTTTTGGTGGTTGAATCGACAAGGTGGAGATTTGTGGAGTTTGTCGATAAAACCAAAGGAGAAGATAATGGTCAACTACACATTATCTGGGCAAAGCTTCTATTCTTTTGGGCTCAAGCCCATACGTGTGTTTACAAGAGTGTGCAAGAGAAACTGATGTTGGGCTAGGGTATAAGGCCCACATGATTACTCAAAGCTATATATAAAACTTTTTTGGAGTTGCAGACTTTGAGAGAGAGCAGAGATACTTAACGAGAGAAGGAGAAGAGAAACAGAGATACACGGTTAAGGGTTTTTTCAGGCTTTCGTCTTCATCTTCTGGGTTAAGGCATCTGTGGTTGAAACTGAGGTGAATTAGTTTCTGGTCTTTCTTCTTAGTGGTACCTGAAACAAAGGAAAGAAGAGAGATACGTGAGTTTAACGGTGAAGTAACAAACTCATTATTGTAAACACTTGATCGATTATAGTGGACCGTTGAGAGTACCGTCTCTCCCCAGACGTACCGAAAGGGAACTGGGTTACCAAATTTTCTTGTGTCTTGCTTGAAAACAACAAACAAACTAAGTATCAAGGTTAATTGATCTAAGTAGTTCAGGTTAAGAGCTAAGACTAGAGGTTGAAATCAATATTAAAACCTCACATCCCTCGATGTCACCGAGTTTTGTTTGACAAAACTTTTCGTAATTTGATATATCAGTTAAATTCGGGAGGGGTTTGGTGAACATTTAAAAGTATTGAGTCGCTTTCTTTACTTTCGGAAGTTCTTAAAAGCTGACTGGAATATTTTTCTACGCGCCATATATCCTCACGCTCTTATTTCGTTATTAAGAAAGGTCGCTTTATCTTTGTTTTACGCTATTTTAATTGTTATCTTTAACGACAACTCAACCCTTACCAAAATTAATTCACCTACCTACTCCTTACTTAACGTCTCTCACCTAATTTTTTTTATGTAAAACTGGAAATACTTACTTAAGAAAAGTTCTATTTTTGCCCACAAGCAAGAAGGTTGCTTCTTTACAGTTTGATTAAGAACGATAGACTCACAATTCCTTAAAATATTATATTCGATATTTGATATTTGATAATGTCAACACAAAAATCAAAATCAAAGAGGAAGATTGGCCGGCTCTGACCTCAGAAATTGACGAATTATTTCATTTTCGTTCCACCTTTATTCACTTTACAATTTGTTATATCATATTGTAAATATTATTGCTGATTATCTTACAAAATAAGCTTGGTCTGTTTCTTCTATGAAGTTTTTTTTATTTCGAGTTGGAGTACTATTCTTTAACAAAAAAAAGAAGTTGGAGTACTATATAATATTCTATGAGGTAATGAAAAAAACATTATCAACCCGCCAAATATCCTATAACTATTTCTTCTGTAGAATTAAATGAGGAATCTTTACGTTATTTAACCAGGTTTAAGTTAATGGTATTAAATGAGAGAATTTCATACGACAACAACACAGCTCCATTTTTTTATCAAGAACAATTTGTGTCTCTTGCGTAAACGAAGAATCAACAACACAACACAAGTGTCAAAAGCAAAGCCAAGAGACACAAGAGGAACACAAAACGTCCAAAAACCCAAACAAAACCTCAGCCAAAACTTGTTCTTTCTTCGTCTGTTTCAATTCGATTTCCAGAGGCAACAAAACTTCCCCCAAAAATGGAGGAAATTCTGTTCGACGAGATTCTCCACGAGATATTTACGAGATTGCCATCGTCTCCTCCATCTTCGTTACCCACTTACGAATCAGTTCCTCTTGTATCCAAGCGATGGCTTCGTCTCTACAGAGCCTCAAAGACTTCCTTGTCCTTGCGAATCAACCCTCACGACAGCTCGGTAATTACCCTTTTGCCCTCTATCCTCCGTAACCATCCTTGTCTCTCTTCCCTCTCTCTCGTCTGGTTCATCGACTCCAAAATTCCGAACCAATTTCGCTCGCCTTCCGATGCTGCCGCGGCGGAACCGGTTTTCAACGACCATCTCATCTCGATCGTCTCTTCCTCCTGCTTCAATCTCCGAAAGCTCTGTTTTTTAGTCAACCCAGTTCCTTCATCTTCCTTGCTTCCTTTCTTTAGTCAATCTCTCACTTCTCTCTCTCTCAAATTGTATAGACCCGTTTCCTTCGATTGGGTCGCTTCGTTTCCGTCTCTCAAGGAACTCTCTGTCGATGTCCACTCGGGAAACTCTTCGAAATCCGGGTCAAACCCTGACCCGGAAGTTGTCGAGTTGGGTCTGGAGTCGATTTCGTTAACCGGAATCCAATCAGACGATACCGGAGTTAACTGGCTGTGGAAGAGATGCAGAAAGGTAAAGAAACTGAGTCTAAAATCTTGTGGAACCATTGGAGAAACCGAGTTTTTCGGTTTGTGTCTAAAGAATCTTGAAGAGATTGAGCTTAGGACATGTAGGAGTATAGTTGATGTTGTTCTGCTGAAAGTTTCAGAGACTTGTGAATCTCTCAAGTCTCTGTTGATTCATGATGGTGGAAACAAAGATGGATTGGTTTATTTCATGAACAATGCGAGATGTAATGATACTTTGCAGAAACTCGATTTGCGTTTACCTATGGATTTAGTCGACGAGCATCTCGTCTCTCTCGCTGCGAATTTCAAATCTTTATCTACTCTTAGGCTTACAAGCTGTTACTTTGTGACTGGTCATAGTTTAAAGGTGTTAGCTTCAAGCTTTAGCTGGACTCTTGAAGAGCTTTCTTTGCTTAGCTGCGACGCGGTCGAGAGAGAACGCGGTTTGTTGGCGACATTAGGACAGCATTTGGGGAGATTGAGGAAATTGGAACTGTCGTTTAATGAGTGGTTATTCGTTAAAGAGTTAGTTTCGATGTTAGCTTCTTGCAATGGCTTGGTTGAGCTGAACTTGAGAGGATGTAAGAACTTGACAGGTTCAGTGTTGGTTGCTCTGAACAAGAGCTGTGTGAAGTTGAGGGATTTAGACATTGTAAGTTGTCGATTGATTCAGGCTGGTGAAGTGGAGGCTTTTGTGCTGAATTCACAATGCTTGAAGAAGATTGTGGTTGAAGAGAACAAGATAACAGAGGATGCAATGAAATGGGCTTCGAGTAAGTTCATTGAAGTTGTTGCTCTTGATTCAGATGTTCCTTGGTGATTACTTGGATTAGCGTTTGAAGTAGAAAAGCATTTGATGTCCCCACACACGCACACACACACACACAAAAAAAACTATCTAGTGTGAAGTATATGTATGACAGTATAGAACATGAATAATATGGATACCCAATGATGTATATATACTATTACTGTATATAAGTTTGTTTCGGTTTAGTGAAACCCAGAACTCTATTAGCATAACAAATCCTAGTCAAGTACAAATATTTTAGCAGTTCAATATTATAACCCCATCCTTGTATAGACCCTTAAAATGATTTGGAATTTAGTTTCAAAGGAGAAAAAAGAAATATATTGAATGCCCTTCTAGCAAAACAGGCATGGAGAGTCCTTCAATTCCTTGACAGCCTCTTTGCAAGAGTTTTGAAAAGTAGATATTTTGATCAAAATGATTTCATGGAAGCTGTAGTTGGAACTCGGCCTTCATATGCGTATGGAGAAGCATTCTTTTTTGGAAGAGAATTGCTCTCTCTTAAAGGTCTGAAAATGATGGTAGGCAATGGTAAGTCTTTGAGAGTAAGGAGCAGGTTTGGTCGCATCCTGCTATGCTTAAAATCAAAGCTTTTTTTATGGAGAGTTTTATGTCGAGCCCTTCTTGTGAGTTGTGAGATTAATATTGAGTAAGAATATATTCGTAGGAATGATGTAAAGAAGTGGAAAGCCCCTGGTGAATTTTGGGTTCAATGCAATGTAGGGGTCCCTTTGTTCTAAGGAAAAGAAGTTGATAGGCTGCGTATGGGTTCTAAGAAATTCGGAAGGAAGGGTCACCATCCAGTTTAAACTCGTATTTGGGGTTATTAATTAAGTTGGGCTTTTGGGTCCAAAAACACCAATGTACAGATATGAATTTGAATTATCCAGAACTGACATTTTTTCTTCTATGATTCTTTTTTTTCTTTGGTGGATTAACAATTTCTAGCGTAATTGACCAATTTTTCATTTATCTATCTATTCTATTAAAACAGAAGCATTTTTAGTGCTTATTTCCAAACACAAATAAAAAATTTTAAAATATTTTATATTATATTATATTTCAAAATTTAGTTATTAATTTAAATATTATTAAATTTCCTTAAATATAGGTTATATTTAATTTAAATTTCAAATTATTTGAAATTTATTTAATTAATTTTAATTACGAAAATCTAGATTCAATTTAATATAAAATTTTAGAAAAAATTATAAATAAATTTATTACGAAAATTTAGATAATAATTTTAGTTACTTGAGAATTCTTTGAATACAGATTATATTTAATTTAAATAAAATTTTCAAAATAACATAAATGGTAAATGAATATCTTATTGTATTTTATCATAATCAATCGGTCCAAAGTATAAAATATTCAATATTAATAAATATTTATATTATGTGTGAGCCAAAACTCGCACAACCAAAAATTTGCTAAAGAAAACCTTAAGGGATCGGAAACTTCTAGGGTTTATCACAAGAACAGTAAGATCGAAAGAACAGTAAGATCGAAAGAATGTTTTTATTGCTGTGAAAGTGTGTAGGTCTTATTGCTTAGGGTTGCAAAAGTTACCGAATGAATTACATACATTGTCTATTTATACTAACTTTCTAAACCGCCTAGCCGAGAATCTCGGGAGAGATTTTAGGAATATTTTCTTATCGCTTCGTGCGGCCACCGCCTCGAAGCATCGCCTAGGGTTTTTATGGGCTTTCTTCCTTCAAGGCTTCGGTTCGGCCCACTTTCCCTTGTGCACAGCTCGGCCCATCTTCTCTTATGCACGGTGCGGCCTATCTCCTCTTATGCACGGCGCGGCCCATCTTTGCACGGCGCGGCCCATCTTTCCTTATTCATGGCTCGGCCCATACTTTCTTCCTCCTCACGGCTCATGCGCGGCTCGGCACTTATTTGATGGATCGCCGGTTCTCCCTGCCAGATCGGCTCTCCAATGTTCTTGAGATGGTTTAAACCGATTGGGGTGAAACCGACCCCAACAGTTAGCCCCCAGCTCGTCAGTTTCGGAGGCGAGAGTGACGAGATTTATCATTCCGTATCAAGAACAAGATTGTCGAGCCGTTATGGAGGCGAGGCGACCGACATGAGGAACAATGCCGAGCTGTTTTGGCAGAAGTTGTGCCGAGGCGTTCTGGCATAGGCAACACCGAGCCGCGTTCCAAGGTGTCGGCGAGGCGTTTTTCTTAGTAACGCCGAGCCGTGTTTCGCGGTGCGACGAGGAGTCTACGTTAATGACGCCGAGCCATGTATCAAGATAGCGACGAGGCGTCTGTGTAAATAATGTCGAGCCGTGTTTCAGGGTAACGACGAGGCGTTTTTTCTAAGAAAGTTGTCGAGCCGTGTTTTCAAGATAACGACGAGGCGTTTACGTCAGTAATGCTGAACCGTGTTTCAAGGTAACGACGAGGCGTTTATGTGTCAGTAATGTCGAGCCGTGTTTCAAGGTAACGACGAGGCATTTGTTCTAAGAGAGTTGTCGAGCCGTTTCGCGTCAACAATAACGACGAGGCGTTGTTATGAAATTGTCGAGCCGTGACGACAAAGCACGGCTCGGTTCACACAGCTTGATGAGATATCCTTGGGAAAGAGTGTAAGCGAGGCGATTTGATAACGGGGACAGGCGAACTGTTTTTCCCAGAGTTTCTTTTAAAATGACAAGGTGTTTTTTTGAAAACTGTGTCGAGCTGAATAAACGACGAACCGTTTTCCGAAAACTGTGCCGAGCCGAATAAGCGACGAGGCGTTTTGCAAAAATTGTGCCGTTCTTAATGACAAGACGCCCATAGTGCTACGGTGCGCAGAAAGACCTAAAGCTTTTCCAGAAAATACAATGCCGAGGCGTGTTAGATATTGTCGGGGGAGAGTGTTACGCCGACGCACGTGATCTAGATACGGCTTGTTACTGGATTAAGTCAAAAGATGCCAAACCGACAAAGTCAAAAGATGCATAGACGACAAGGCAAGACAGTGCCTAGAAGATGAGCCGAGACGATGGCTAGGACACAAGGCAAGAGGATTCCTAGGCGACGAGGCAAGATGACGCCTAGCCGACGAGCCGAGATGATGGCTAGGCGACAATGCAAGAGGATGCCTAGCTGCCGAGCCGAGTTAACGGCTAGGCGACAAGACAAGAGCATGCCTAGGCGACGAGATAAGATGATGCCTAGGCCCACGAGGCAAGATGACGCCTAGCATACGAGCCGAGATAGAGGTGATAATCGGGCCTTTTGTCCGCGGGCCAGGCCCGTTAAGGCCCTAATGGACGCGGGCTTGGACAACATATATTTTGCCCAATAAGAAGTGGGCTTTATGGGTTGATCCGCTGCGGATCGCGGATTAAACGGGTCAACCCGTTGCGGACATGCGGGTATGTGGGTTGACCCGCAAATATATATATGTCAAAGAAAAAAAACGTTTCAGAAAAAATTAAGATATTTTGTTACTACTAGAATCTCTTATAACTTAATTAAAAACCCTAAATATAGCAGCCAAGCAGGAAACTCAAAAGTTAAAAAACCAGAATATTAAAATTGAACAAAGCTTCTCAGTTCTCCCATCAAAGACAACATCTGCTTCTAGTCAATTATTTGCAGAAAACAAAATTCAACAGTTCAGTCACCTTTGTAATGGTAAGTTGTTTATTTTTTTAATATTGTTTATGTTTTATCAATTTTATAGAATCTGCCATGCTTATATAAGTTTTTGCAGTAACTAAAATTGAATTCTCGATGTATAATTCTTTTTAATGTATCTTGCATACTCTATATATATTCATAGGTTTCTCAATCAATAAAATTATAGAATTCCATAAACTTCATATGGTAAACCCTAAACCTTATAAATCTTCAATAAAATTAAAGATTAATTTTCAGCCCGCGGGCTAGTCCGTTTACCCATTGGGCTTGGCGGGGCGGGCTTGGACATAATTTTTTTGTCCGCAATCTTAGCGGGCCAGCCCATCAAAGACCGCAAAAATAAAAATCTGCAGCGGATGTTGCCCGTTGGGCGCGGGCTGGCCCGTTTGACACCCCTAAGCCGAGATGATGGCTAGGCGACAATGCAAGAGTATGCCTAGCTGCCGAGCCGAGTTAACGGCTAGGCGACAAGGCAAGAGGATGCCTAGGCGACGAGGCAAGATGACGCCTAGCCGACGAGCCGAGATGATGGCTAGGCGACAATGCAAGAGGATGCCTAGCTGCCAAGCCGAGTTAACGGCTAGGCGACAAGGCAAGAGGATGCCTAGGCGACGAGGCAAGATGACGCCTAGCCGACGAGCCGAGATGATATGTCTAGGCGACAATGCAAGAGGATGCCTAGCTGCCGAGCCGAGTTAACGGCTAGGCGACAAGGCAAGAGGATGCCTAGGCGACGAGATAAGATGATGCCTAGGCAACAAACCAAGATGACGCCTAGCCGACGAGCCGAGATGATGGCTAGGCGACAATGCAAGAGGATGCCTAGTTGCCGAGCTGAGTTAACGGCTAGGCGACAAGGCAAGAGGATGCCTAGGCGACGAGGCAAGATGACGCCTAGCCGACGAGCCGAGATGATGCATGGACGACGAGGCGTCTTCGTTTAGACGACGCCGAGCCGTGTTTAGCGATAACGAAGAGGCGATTTTCATTGGCAATGCCGAGCCGTGTTTAATGATAACGACGAGGCGATTTTCATTGGCAATGCCGAGCCGTGTTTAATGATAACGGCGAGGTGATTTTCATTGGCAATGACGAGCCGTGTTTAATGATAACGGCGAGGCGTTTTCATTAGATGATGCCAAGCCGTGTATAACGACAAAGCGTTTTCATTATATGGTGCCGAGCCGTGTATAACGACGAGGCGTTTTGTTTTTTATTAACCAAAGATGATTTCGGGCCGTTCATTGAGATTTATCCATTCTATCACTGAGAGAGGTCCTCATTGAGGTGAGCTGTTTTAGATTGTTTTGAGAAAGAATCTCCAACTAACGCCGAAGTATTTTTCAAGTAAGTTATGTGTTTTATAGGCCTTGTTCTCTTTGAGAGACTGATCGTTCGTGAGGAAGACTCGGGCGTTGCAGCCAAAGTGTTTAGCTTGAGCCTGTTTTTTCTTGCCGAGGCGTTAGCCCAAGGTTTCTCATTGACGAGGCAAAAGTTCAAGAGGATATAGTGTTCTCTTTGGAATATGACTATAGACCGG